AGCTGATCAGGACATGCTTGATCACGAGGGGTGTTTCTCTCTGAAGTAACAGAGGAAATCCTAAGGTTCAGAATGATTTCCCATGAACTCAAGTTAATTTTTCTTTAACTCAAGGTGCATTTGCCCATCACAAGCTGTGACGGGTTATTTAAACGTCGAAGTACAAAGTACACTTCTCACACCGAGATGGCCTACTGGGGCTGACCGGTGTGCACAGCGGTCAAAGTGACGCCCACTTTGACCCCCGCTTACGACAGGCTTTGCCTAGTCTGGTTACAGTCTTGGGGCTCAGTCAGCTGACTGGGCGTGCAAATCAGCCTCACCAAGAGCATGTTTTTATCTGTAACATGTGAATAAAAATTCCCACTTTATGGACAACGATACCTAGTCCAGAGCTTGTGACTCAGGTTTATGGCAGCAATGAACGTTGTCTCTCTGTGTTCTTCTCACAGTCAGATGAATGGAGTACAGATCTGAAAGAGGAGAGCGTTCACTAAGTACAAATCTGCCCCATTTCGGGATGTATCCAGGGGTTGAGTAAGTATTTGCTGATTGGTGAATCGCATCACTGATGAGCCCCTCCAGCGGGAAACTGGCTTGTCTGGCAAGGAAGGGTGGCGTTTATGTAACTCGCAATGCAGATGCCATGATTCCTTCTGATTCTCTGTGAAAATCATCAGCTGTCAATGCTGCATCCCCCGAGACGGGCTGTCCTGTAGATCGCCTTCCTTTTCAGCTTCCAAACTATGGCTTCCTGGGGGCGTGGCACATGGCCCATCATGGCAACAATGAGCCGCTGCCCCGAGAGTGTCCCCACTGCTTCCCACACAGGAGGCCATGCTGATCCCAACTCACAACATAGGAAACTGAGGCAGAGGCAGGTCACTTCCTGAGGGACGTTCGGAGGTTTCCCGCAAGTCCCAGTAAGGGCCAGGGCCCCCCCGGTCTTCCCTGCTTTCTAGCATCCCAGGGGCCCCTCTGTGTTTCTTCAGCCTCAAGCCCGAGTCTGCTCTCTGTACCCGCCCTCCCACTGAGAACAAATGCTTTCTCTCCGGGGATGAGACAAGTCTCCTGCCCGCTCTACCTACACCTGCTAGTTCTTCTGGATGGACCCTCGGACGCTCGGACGAGCATCTCTCCAAGATAGTCACAGCGTGTTGATGGGAGTTAGCACAGGAGGATTTTGCTGTCTTTCTAGACAAACATATTACATAATTTTACAAACACAGTACAGTGTCTCTCATGATCAGAAGTATTTAAAGATAAAAAGGCTCTCTTCTATAGGACTCTTTTCTACAGGATTTCATGGGGCTTTTAATTTGCTAATGAGTTTTATTATTTTCCTTCTTCCCCAAGAAGGAAGCTGTGGAATTTTTGCTTCTTAAATTTACTTGATTACAGAACCTCTTTATCTCCGGAGATAGAATTTTGCTTGAGACATACTCTGGGAGAGACTCTCTCAGCTAAGGGCAGAGAGAGCACTCCATTAAGCCTGGGGAGAAGATCTGCATTAGAATAAATGGTGACTGTGAACACTTAGCCCTGCCATAAAAGGACTCAGCTATACTGAGACGTTTACTTCTTCATTAAGCTTTAGCTGTACAGGGAGCTAGCTGTCTTATCTTTATTTTTTGTGGGTTAAGTAAGGTTATTTCATTAGTGATGTTTATACTCTAACATGGTAAAAAGGAGAAAACTGTGATAACTGTGATACTTCTTAGTCCAGGGGTAGCAAAGTCTGTTCTATTCATTTGTTTATGCATACAGAACTGGGGTACAAGCCAGAGGTTCAGGGGCAATGAGAGGATTCAGCAGAGACAGAGTGGGGAGCAGAACAGGCCAACTGATGGAAGTACACAGCTGAGGGGAGCGGCGGGCGTGTCAGGAGAGGTTTGCTGCACCCTATGGGTCACCTCCAGGGTGGGGATCAAACTCATGCTGCAGTGGCTGTGGATGGCTTCATAGTGCTGCGTTTTAACCCGTTGCGCCACCAGGGCGGGCCCAGCCTGTTGTTTTTTGAAAACCAATTAACAATTTCTTGAACATCAGATCTGAGAATCCACATGTCTAAAGGGGCATATTACCATCACCCCCGCATCCTCAGCAGCCCCGGGGCAGAGAGGGATGTCCCCTCACTTGACCACCAGGTAAAGGCTGCCGTCTCGTGATTCAGCTCTATACTCACCACGTGACATCCTCCCTGCAGTTGAGAACCGGGGAGCCATTTGGGGAGAGAGAATATGCTGCTTGGTGATGTTCCCCTTATTTCATCAGTGAAGAGATAACTCCGGAGTGTTCAGCCTTGTGGCAACTTTTATACAGAAAGTTCTGGCAAGCAAGGTCCGGCCGGCAGCAGGCAGCTCATTAAGCCGCCACGGCTGTCAGAGGTCTTGCCGCGACTAAGAGAGATATTGCAGGATGCTAACTCCAAATATTTTCAGCAGCTTTAATCAACTGTTGAGTAAACAGCCCCAACCTGCTAATAAGGAGATGCTTTGGCAGGCTCCGGCGTGTGGATTAGGGGACCCAACCCAAGCCCGAGCTTTGGCAATCTGCCCATTGTCTCTCTCCATCACTGTTCTCCAGCATATGCCAGGCTGGCACAGCTGAGCCACCCACTGCCTCAGCACTGGAGCCAAGGGAGGGGAAGGGACCTGGGAACCTGCTGTCTGTTTTTGTTTGCTTTGGGCTCCCCCCTGGGGCGTCAGGCCATCCAAACTCCTTCTGGGGGAGTCATTTGATCTTTTAAAGGAGTCTCAGAGACAGGCATAAGGACCTCGCCAGGAGGGTCTGGTATTCAATGGCTGGGTGGAAGATATCTTTAAGGAACAATCCAACAGGATCTCCTTTGTGACTGTCTGCACACAGATAATGTGGATTTAAGATCCAAGGGTTTGTCATTACACAGTACGTATTTGAATTTCAAAACAGCCTTGCAAAATTGGGTAGAGCCCTCAGTTTATACAGATAGGAGAGGCTCAGAGAAGTCAAGGACCTTGCCATGGTTACTTGTGAGAGGCAGACAAGGGATCTGAACCCGGGTCTTCACGACAGACTTTCTACCAGACCACGGCTACTGTACTGGTGTGGCATTTTGTCATTTTCAAAGTCACTTAGATTATAGAGTGTGAGGCCCACCGCAGACCAGTGCGACAGGATGGGACCCAAACTCAATGTATTAATCACAGCCCAAGGTCGCCTGACCCAAACCCGTCCTGGCAGAAGACTCGCTGTCTGCTACCCCGGCATGGCTTTCTGGCTCTCTGCTCACAGCTTCTTTCTCAGTGAGTTTCTCAGGAGCAGTGTGCCGTGCAAAACAGTCTCTAGAAAAGCCAAGGTCAAACCTAAGTGATTTTCTTCCCCTGTATCTCCGGAGGGAAGATGCGGCTGACTATTACTGTGTGCCAAGCATCTGCGGTTTATTTTGTTTGCACTAAGCTTTTTATATTTACTTAGTTTTCTTAACGTTTACAACTCTCCAAAGGACCTGTCACCCATCCTCGCTTTACAGTTGAGGAAGCCAGACAGAAAGTCAGGTACATTGTCCAAGACCTGGCGAGTGGTGGGCTGGGATTCTTGCAGAGATCCGGCCCTGGAGGACCTGCCGGGTGGGGCCCTGAAGCGGCTGTCGAGCTCGGAAGATGGCTTCTTGCAAGGGCCGTCAGGGACCACGTTGTCTGGCAATCATCCCAGAAAGTGTGTCCACTGCCCATTTGACTGGGATTCTGGCAATATACCAACTAGCTATTTCTTGGGCTGAAGTGGGGGGTAGCAGGGGAGGGGGAGGGAGGCTGAGACTCCCTCCCTCTTGCCCCGAGATGCCTTGCAAAGATGCGTGTGTGGCTAACTCTCTAGCCGTGTGCATGGGCTGCAGTGGAGACCGGTGAGCATGGGGTGGGGTCAGAGCAGCGATTCTTGCTCCCCTGTCAACGATCCCCTGCGCCCGGGGCCCAACTGGCCCACCAGAGTCTAGCCCAGGGTTTCCCTAACTTTCTGGATCATAAGCATTACCCTAAAGTCTTGTTAAAAAGATACAGATGGCAAGTCCTTCCTCTGGAGCGCTACGCTCCGTAAGACTGGGAGGGACCTGAGTCAAGATATTGACTTTCTCGCCCACGAGTCCGTAATCGGTCACCACAGGGTCTGCGCTTGCTGGGGATGTGGAGTGCGTGGGACTCACTCGGATGACCCTGATGCCCTCGGGGCCTGAGGGGTACTGGGGGGGGCAGATTACGCACTTTGTTAGGAACATGTGGGCACACAGAGGGTGCTGGCTCCCCCAGACAGCAGGGCCCCTTCCTCTTCCCAAGCCTCACACTTGTTTGCTTCAGATACGACCTTCACTCTTCCTGCAGGTTGGACACTTTATCTCATCCTTAGCAGCATTTCTCAACTCAAATGACAGGCTGGTGTAGGTAGAGGCCTTGGCCTGAGGTGGTGTCAGTGTGGACCTGTGGGGTCCCTGCACCCCTCATCCTTACTTCTCCCACCCCAAGCCCTCTTCTGGACCTTTCCCTGAAGAGGCAGGCACAGACAACAAGCCACTGGGCTGTTTCACACTGGAGCACAAGGGAGGGGCCCAGGCCATCTGAAAGAGGTTGTCCCGTCTTCACCTCATATCATGGAACTCAGTGTGTCCTAATCCAGTGTTGTCAAAACCCAACTCTTCCTGCTGGGTCAGGTGCTGTCTTGAGTTCTTTAAGACCCTTGAGGAAATCACGTGGAGGGAGGAGAGCTCTGGTCTTTTGTCAACTGAGGCAAGTTTGGGTGATTAAGCTAAGAAAGCAAAGTCACTTTGGTCTAGAGGATTATTTTTGAGGTGTGTTGGGAACCTAGAAGCAACTTATTGCCCGGGAGGCAAACCAAACCCAAGATGACTCTCAGCTAATTGCTTGTCTCCTTTCTGCCAAGCCAAACTCCTTGGTATATAAAGACCAGTCTCCTCAGTCATCCCCATCTTCTGTCTTCATCCCTCTTGGTTCTTGCTAAGTGATCGCGAGCTCATCTCCAAGCGCTCTCACCATGAACAGACAAGGCTGCAAGACATCCGGGGGCTTCTCCGGCCGCTCTGGGGGCTTCTCCGGCCACTCTGCCGTGGTCTCCAGCAGCAGCGGCAGCAGCAGGATGAGCTGCGTGGCCCGCACTGGGAGAGGTGGCGGAGGGGCCTGCGGGGCCCGGGGCGGAGCCGGCGGCTTCGGCAGTCACAGCCTCTACAACCTGGGCGGCTCCAAGAGCATCTCCATGAGCGTGGCTGGTGGCCCCCGGGCTGGTGGCTTCGGGGGAGGACGTAGCAGCTGTGGTGGTGGCTTTGGGGGCGGTCAAGGAGGTGGCTTTGGTGGTGGCAGAGGAATGGGAGGTGGCTTTGGAGGGGCTGGTGGCTTTGGAGGGGCTGGTGGCCTTGGGGGGGCTGGTGGTTTTGGAGGGGCTGGTGGCTTTGGAGGGGCTGGTGGTTTTGGTGGAGGTCGTGGTTTTGGTGGCCCCGGTGGCCCTGGTGGCTTTGATGGCCCTGGTGGCTTTGGTGGCCCCGGTGGCCCTGGTGGCTTTGGTGGCCCTGGTGGCTTTGGTGGCCCCGGTGGCCCTGGTGGCTTTGGTGGCCCTGGTGGACTCCATGGGGGAATCCATGAAGTGACAGTCAACCAGAGCCTCCTGCAGCCCCTCAACTTGGAGATTGACCCCCAAATCGGACAAGTGAAGACCCAGGAGCGGGAGCAGATCAAAGCCCTCAACAACAAGTTTGCCTCCTTCATTGACAAGGTGCGGTGAGGGCAAAGCCCAGAGCTGTCCCAGGGGTTTGGGCTGTCCAGGGGGTGAGAGCAGGAAGGTGCCAGTGGGATCAGCCAGGCTTGGTCCTATCGGGCAACGGGCATCTCTCTCTTGCTATTTGGGTTTTGTTTCTCCAGTTGTGAAGTGGGAAAGCTCCCGATCTCCTTCTAGGGTCTGTACCAGGGACCATGTGGTGAGAGGCCACATGTGCTTTTGGCTCTTTCAGGAATGGGGTGTTGGCTACGCCATTACTATAGTCAACTTTGCATTTGAAACAATTGCTTTTCTTGAAAACAGTTGCTTGATACTCTAAGCTAGGCGGGGATCAGCCCTGAGCTAGCTGTCAGTGACGCTGCAGCGGACACCTCCCGCACCACGCTGTGCTTCGGGAGGCGGTTATTCTGTGGAGCTGTCCACACCGAGACGGGAAGGGCGTGCTGGGCAGAGGGTGAGCCTAGGGTTGGGAGCAGGGCAGCTGTTTTTGCACATTTTCCATAGTTGCCGACTAACTGAGCGGGGCAGCAACAGGGACAATGTGGAAAAACGAAGGCAGAGTTAGCCTTTGCTCACTGTATGGTAGTAACAGTGCTTTTAATTAAAAAAACCAAATTGGCTTTTGCCCGCCGCCCTCCTCCAGTGTGCTCTGAGGCTCCCCATAAGCAAACTCTTGCTTTGTTATTGAGCAGCCCTGTCACTCTGAGCTTAATTAAGTTCTTCCTGTCTTGATTTCTTTTACTACAAAATAGGGACAATAACACTCCCTTTGTAGGTGGTCGTGAGGATTAAATGAGAAAGGCCGTGAGAAAAGAGCAGGCACAGAACCAGCATGCACCATGCTCCTTTCTCTAAATCCTCTTCTTCCCCAGTCCCCAAACACAGAGGTGACTGCAGCACCAGGTGCACGTCCCACCTTTGTGCATTTGGGATCGGAGGCTCCACCTGGCCGGCCGCAGGTGGCTGACTCTTCTCCTGCCCGTGCAGGTGCGGTTCCTGGAGCAGCAGAACCAGGTGCTGCAGACCAAGTGGGAGCTGCTGCAGCAGCAGGGTTCACACTCCTCCACCAGCACCAACAACCTGGAGCCCTTCTTTGAGTCCTACATCAGCTTCCTGCACAAGCAGCTGGACTCGGCGGTGGGAGAGAAGGGGAACCTGGAAGGGGAGCTGAAGACCATGCAGGACCTGGTGGAAGACTTCAAAAAGAAGTGAGGGCCCCAGCGGGGGCATTTTCGCTTTCGGGGCATTGGCGAGGAGGCGTGGGCCCTCTGTGGGGTTGCGGCCGTTCTCACTGCACCTTCAGTCAGCAGTCTCGGGTACACACGGAGGACAGCCTGGCCAAGCAGAAGGCTGGGCGGAGGGGGAGGACCGAAGTTTCTAGATGGCTGACCACGACAGAGGTTTCAGTCTCCAGGTAGCCCCTGGGGCACCCCAGATGCCAGGCTGCTCCCAGTGCCTAAGCCCCTTTTAAGGGCTTACGGTGGAGAGCCTGACACTTTACTGTGGGCTCACCTTGGGAACTTGTGGAAGTGCATGATCCTGTGCTCCCTAGTCCCATCCAGAGCTTCAATTCCTCCCACTCTGGGTCTTTACTTGTCCAATTTGGGGGTCAAGCTTCATGGTGAGAGCCTGTAGAAGTAGCTCTGAATGGGCAGTTGGGCAGCAGGCCCCAGGAATGCCAGGTGGAGGGCTCGGGCCACGCCCCCGGCCATGCTGTGCCAGCCACTCTTCCAGTGTGTCCTCTCAATCCCACCTTACAGCTTCAGTTTCCTCCTGTTGTCTGGGGTTGCAGTTGACACCTTCTGAGAGGGCGAGGGGCAAACAGGGGACCTCAGGAGGCCAGGACAGGCAGGGATGTGCTCTTGGGGAGCCTCCATTTCCGGTCCAGCCGCTCCAGCCCAGTGGGCACACACTCTGGGGGTTGACCACAGGTCTCTGGGGACCCAGGGGTGCGTCAGGTTCACATTGCCCAGAAACCATATTTTCCCTAGAATTGTTCCGTTCTTCCATTTTCACAAAATCCAAGTCTTGGCAGGAGATGGTAGTCAACTGAAAGGCAGGACTCTCGGGGCCTCCCTGGTGGCGCAGGGGTTAAAGTGCAGCACTATGAAGCTGCCTGTAGCCGCTGCTGCACAAGTTTGAACCAGGGAGTGACCCACAGGGCGCAGCTGACGCCTCCTGTCTCCCTGCTGCTCCCCTCAGCAGTGTACTTCGTCCATCTGCCTGTTCTGCTCCCCACTCTGTCTCTGGTGAAGCCTCTCACCCCACCCCCCCACCCAGCCTACACCCCAGTTCTTGTATGAATAAATAAATCTTTAAAAAAAAAAAAAGGCAGGACGCTCACAATCCAGGTGCATTCAGAAGACATGCGTTCATTCTTATCCCAAAATCCGGTAAGAAGCAGCTGTAATGACGAAAGCCACAAAGAAAGCCGAGGCAGGAACACCTGGCTGACCTCTGCCAGGTCCCCTAAGCGCACTGTCCTTTGTGAAGCCACAGCTGGGTGAGCTGTTGAGCTCTCTCCAACCGGGCTGCCCACACCTTCGCTGGCTCACTTGAACTTAGAGGGAGGGAGGAGTACAAGGTCGTGGCTGACTCTGAGGTCTCTAGGTGGGGTCTCGAGGGGGGCTCTGTGCAAAGTGAAACCACAGGGTCCTTGCTAAAAATTGACGGAGACTTTCCAGATGGCCACATCAGGGCCTCTGGCTGGGCTGGGAACCTCCTGTCCTGGCCCCCGGGGCCACGCGGCTCACATGCTCACGGGCCTGGTCCTGTCTCTGCACGGGGCGCGATCTTCTTTGATCCTCAACCTCTTTTTTCACTCCTGAAATGTCACCGTTGAAACACGTGTCTCCTGCCCAGGTATGAAGATGAGATCAACAAGCGCACGACGGCCGAGAACGAGTTCGTCGGGGTCAAGAAGGTGAGTTGGGGCCGCAGACAGGCTGGGGAGCGGGGCCAGCGGGGCTCAGTGGCCAGTGCCGAGGCTGGGGCTTGCATCTGTCTGACCTTTTCGGAAATGAGGTGTTTGACAGGGGCTGTGGCTCCGAGGGAGACACTCCCAGTGTTTGTGCCACCAGCGAGCGGACCGGCAATGCTGAACGCGTTACTCATGGCGGGTTTTTGTTTTTTGGTGTAGCCAGGTTTTCGATTTACAAGTGCACCCAGATGTTATTAATGATAAAAAGAAAAAAAAAAAGTCCTCAAGGCTTGTTTAAAGGCGTCTCAGGAGACCTCTTCATTCTCTTCAGAGGTCGGGTTTCGTAGATGACCAGGGCACGTGCTACCTCAGTGTGTCTTTGTTCTCCTTACGCTGTGCTTGGCTACTGGGGTTTCTATTTCGGTAGAGCGTTCATCACAGAGGAGCGATGGGGTGGGGCGCAGAAGAGACGGCTCTGAGGACAGTCACGGGTGGTGGGTGCGGCGGTTGTCCTTGGGGTTCCTGACGGTTCCCGCCCCCCAACCCAGGACGTGGACGCTGCCTACATGATCAAGGTGGAGCTGCAGGCCAAGGTGGACGCCCTGAACGACGAGCTCAATTTCCTGAGGACCCTCTATGACATGGTGAGGCCCGCAGAGCCCTCCCCAAGCGTGGTGCCCGCGTGTGGCGTTAGGGGACAGGCCGCGGCAGGACGCTGGCAAAACCAGCGACGTCCCTGCAACGTCACTGTCGATGTGTCTCCTGCCCCAGGCAGGAGCAGGGCTCAATGCTGAAGCAGTTCCGCCCATCCAAAAAATGCTAACTTAGCTCCCGCAGCCTGGCCAACAGGGCCACAAGGCCTCTTGGCTTCCTTCTGTCCGAGGCCCACTTTGTCCTGCTGCCCGCTCTGGCTCCCGTGCGGGATTCCCATGGAAGCCGCACACCGGCGGGTCCTTTTGGGCCGACACCGGATCGTCTTTCCTCTTCCTGCTTCATTTTCTGGCATCCTTTAGGCTTTTCCAGGCTTGACTTGCAAATTCATTTTTCTAATTTCCCGCACCTGGCTCCATCATCGTTCTCAGCCGTTCTTAGGGCCAGGGATGGGGAGAGCGACCATCTCTATTCCCTGCAGGAGATGACCCAGGTGCACTCAGACTCCAGCGACACGTCCGTGGTCCTGTCCATGGACAACAACCGCTGCCTGGACCTGGACAGCATCATCGCCGAGGTCAAGGCCCAGTACGAGGAGATCGCGGAGAGGAGCAAGGCCGAGGCCGAGGCCCTGTACCACGGCAAGGTAGGAGCACCCCGCCCCTCAAACCCCCGCTGCCCCAAACTAGTTTTGGGTCCCCCTGAGCTTCACCAAGGACGTCCCCACCCTTGCCGAAGCCATGCTGATCGGTTTCTCCTGGGTCAGCTGGGAGAGCTGCAGAACACGGCCGGCAGGCATGGAGATGACCTGAAGAGCACCAAGTCCGAGATCATGGAGCTCAACAGGATGATCCAGAGGCTGCGGGCCGAGATCGAGAGCGTCAAGAAGCAGGTGGGCTGGCTGGGCTGCTGTTCCTGGTCTGGCCGTGAGGGTGGGGGTGGGCGGCTCAGGACCCCCCACCTGGAACGGACTTCGGGGACGGCCCCGGGCAGCCTTGACCTGCAGGGAGTCCAAAGGCCAGGGCAGCCTACATGGGGCTCACTCATGGGGCAAAGAGCTCTGGGTGGACACAGGCCAGGGGGCCCAGCGAAGGCGGGGTGCTGCCTGACCTCACCATCCTAATGGATATGGTCCCTCCCCCGCCCCAGAATGTCAACCTGCAGGCGGCTGTTGCTGACGCCGAGCAGCGCGGGGAGCTGGCCCTCAAGGACGCCAACGCCAAGCTCCAGGAGCTTCAGGTTGTCCTGCAGAAGACCAAGGACGACCTGGCCCGGCTGCTGCGCGACTACCAGGAGCTGATGAACGTGAAGCTGGCCCTGGACGTGGAGATCGCCACCTACAGGAAGCTGCTGGAGGGCGAGGAGTGCAGGTGGGCGCAGTATCTGTGCTCAGGACACAGTTTAGTGTGACCTTCGATAAAGTGGGTGAGGAGCACTCAGGGAGAGGACCGCTCCTCCCAGGGCGTAGAGTCTCCTGAACAAGCGCTGAACCTTGCTGTTTTTGTCAATCAGGATCAAGCAGGGCACTAACTGACCATGTCATCACACTGTAGTAGGTACCTCTGTGGTCCTCATTATGTGAAAGTGTAAGAGAAAGTGATCTGGGGTTGTGGCAAAGTATAACAGTGCGATGTCCACTGCAACTTTCTAGGGTGACAACGTGCTGCCCACTAGCCACTGGAGTGCTTGAAAGGTGGCTAGTGTAGCTGCATTTTACATTTAATTCAAATAACGTCACACGGCTAGCAGTTCCTGGCCGGGCAGCGAGGTACAGAGAGTCCCGCACCTGCTCCCCGAGGCTGGGCCCCCCCTCTGGACAGGCGGCTGGTGCACACAGACGCTGGAGAAATAGCAGTGTGGGGTGGCAGACACGGGTTTGTGAGTGGAGTTGAGGACAGAGAGATGTTTCTGCAGACTCCTGCTCCACGCACCCTGTGCTCAGAGCTTCGGTCCTCCAGGGGCTCCCCTCCGACAGAGGAAGTGAAACTCGGGTGGGGGAAGAAAACTTCAGGATTTCTGATGAGCCTCGAATAAAAGGAGCGGAAGTGACCATATGGGGGAGGCGTGGGAGGGGAGCGCCTGGTGGACACCAGGCACATTCCAGGTCTGCTCGGTGTGTGGACAGCCTGGTGCGTGAGTGAATGAGGTGCGGGGGGCGGGCGGTGTGGGCCGGACGTCGCAAACCCACACGGCTGTCAGCTCCTCTCACGTTTAATCCGCCTTGACCCAGCAACACCACCACCGCTCGGGAGGGCTCACCTGGGGAAGCCTCCTGGGCAGGAAAGCTGGGAATAAAACCCCAGAACCGGGTGGTGATAACTGGTAATGCAGTGGAATTGGGTAGGAGCAATTCACTTGACAGGTACCGTGGGAGTTGAGGCAGGAGGGTGGGAGGCGGAGACAGGGGGGCTGTTGGCCTCTGCGCCTGCACCCTCTGAAGCAGCCCCCTCGGGCCAGCTGCTCCCAGAAACTGACCGGGCCTGGAGCTTGGCTCCAACCACTGCACATGGGAGCTCGCAGCTCTCAAGGCGCTGGGCTCTGGCTGATGACTCATGGCAGAACTAATCCACGGCTTCTCTCTTTCAGGATGTCTGGAGAGTGTCAAAGCACCGTGAGCATTTGTAAGTGGCCCTTTAAAGCCTGCTCCCTGGGTTGTAGCAAGGGCAACCTCAACCACCACCCTCTCTGAGGGTCTTTGGGCAGGACACCCTGACCCAGGCAGGAACCAGGCCCCCTGGCAGTGTCCAGGGCCTCCCTCCCCAGGGTAAGCCGGGAAACTGTCAGGCTGAAGCTGGCCTTGGGCAGCGCCCCAGGCTGGAGAGCCCGAAACCTCTGAGGATAGGGCTGGCCCTTGTTTCCGGGAGGGGCGCCGGGGTGCAGGGTCAGCTCTCTGGCGGCCAGCGTGGCTCCGGAGGGCGGAGCGTCTTCTCCGGTCACACAGCTGTGCGGGCGGAGCGGGGCTGAGCCCCAGACCCTTGGCCTGAGCTGCGTGTCTGTCCTGCAGCGGTGGTCAGCAACGCCAGCAGCACCAGCAGCACTTCCGGCGGAAGCCACGGAGGCTTCGGAGGGGGCAGCGGCGGCGGCAGAGGCG